CAACAACTGGCGACAGCACCTTTCGTGAATATTATGTTTTAAAATACTATGTTAGAAAACATTGCAACCGCATAGTAATTTTTGAGCACTGATGGTGGAATGCTACAATACTCTCAGTCTTTTCATGCTCCAATAATGGATTGCTAACATAACTATCTAGCTGAAAATAAGATTAGTCGCTAATTCTCATTCAGTCTTTTCATTTGTTTTACATCTAAATCATAAATTTACAAAATAATATAGCATATTTATGCCCCTTTTTTTCAATCGCTGAAGTGAGCTGCATCTTGAACAGAAATAAAATCAATGAGTTTATAATTCTTTATAGCTAATTTCATGACATCCTTAATCGAAGCCTTTGCGTTAAAGAGGATAATTTCCGTTTTCTCAAAGGTAATTTTCTTCTGTTTACCATTTTTATTCAGTCATAAGAGTAGGTTTGAAACTAAATAATGCATTTCTTTCTCCCAAAAGACATCTAATTCACTCGAATTTTGAAATTAGACTTTAAAAGAAAAGCGAAAGAGAACGGAAAAACACCTGAATCTAAGGCCATCATAAAAGTAAATGAATTTTGAAATCACTAAATTTCAATTGAATTTCCACATTACTTATTATTTTCATAAACTTTGCTTATGATAAATAGACTCTCTTCAAGGCCTAAAGATATCACACCAAAATTTGTTTCAAACTAAGAAAGAAAACCCTATTCTATAATTTCAATAAGCTCTTATAAAACAGTATTTATAGAAATAAATCTATAGAAATACGGCCGTGATAATTTTATCGTGTTGCATCGTTTCCTCTTTAAATAAATATTTAAATCGCGATAAACCAATAATTTGAATAAAAAAACTTTAAACAAGCAACAGTTCTCTTGATTTTAGAGTGTAAGGTAAAATAATAATGCTTTGTTTGCTTAGATTTACTTTTTTTTTTTTTTTTTTTTTTGGAAACTTTTAAATTCAAAACCTTAAATGGTTTACTTTATCGTTTATATAATTTATTCGCCTAGTGACTAGAATTTACTCTAAACATCCAGTCTTTAATATACGTTTTTTAAAAACACTGTTTTTAATAAAACCCAAAACATCTAAAATACTTCGGATTAATTAGAATTTCACTCAAATCCAGAGTATAAAACTGTGCGGGGTGATAAGGAAAAAACACGATTCACTTCATCGCTTATAAAAATTTATATGCCTAATATCTATAACTTATTCTAAACATCCAGTCTTTAATACATATTTCATAAAAGAAACTATTTGCAATAAGATTTTGCTCCATTCTGTATAATGCAAAACGTCAAAGTTACTTATGATTAACTCAAATTTCACTCACATCCAGAGTATAAAACTGCTTGGAAGTGATAGCGAAACAATATGTGTTCTCTTTCTTTCGGCTGTAATCGAGTAATTGACATTTTCCAGACACTGATGTCGTATTCCTTTTTTACCGACAAAGAATTGTCTTCACTTTCTTGTATATTTTCTTGCCGATCAATTAAAAACCTTTTTTTTTAAATGCAAGAGAAAGAGCAATTGAATTGAGGAAGGAAGTAAACAGATTGGTAATTAAGTGAAATTGTAAGACGAACGAAATGTTCCTTGCAATTAGAGCGAGAAATCAGTTGCAAGAGTTAGAAACGGTAGCATATATAATAGTTTAACGTTTTGAAGCATAGGAGCTGGAAGATTATTCAAAGCTACGTATTTATAAAGACAGTGTCTCTAATTCTGCTATAAATGAAAAGGACTTATTTGACTGGATGTGCAGAAAAATACAGTGAATGTAAATGTGAAATGCGGAGTAATCTGAAGGATCAAAGTGTCAGTAAAAAACGTTAAAATATTCTTTCACTTTACAAAGTATATAGATTGAGAACTTGAAAAATCTAATTAATTTATGTTTGTCATTTCAAAGCAGCTGTTAATGTGTCTTTAATTAATAAATGTCCTGTGGACCGAGAAACAGCCCTCCTAAAAAATTTAAGACATGATAGTAGGCGTTTTAGTCGTTGTGAAGACTCATTTTGTAAGTTTTTTTGGTGTGTGTGTGCTGAGTTCTAGTTTTAGAATTAAGTACTTTAAGACTTATATTTTTTTAGTTAAACTCACGTTAGTTAATGTTACGTATTTTCATACTACTATCTTATTTACTACACAGTATTTAATGCACAGCAAATTTATCTGTAGATATTTCCTAGTTTTTAATATTTCCCTTTATTTATAAAGTGCCTCAAATTTTTAAAAATGTTTTTAAGAAACGTTACCCTTAAAAGAACTTTATGGCTTCATTTAAAAAGGAACTTTTGTAAAATGCTGAAAGATATATATATATATATATATATATAATATTATATGGATATATATATATATATATATATATATATAATATATATATATATATGGCTATATATCTATATATATATATATATATGGCTATATTATATATATATATATCTTCTATATGGATTCATAGGATATCTATATATCTTCTTATTTATAATATGGACTTATCTCTGTATATATCCCCCCCCAATTTCTAAAAATGTTTCATACATTATACAGAATTAGGAAAATAGTACGATATAACGTCCTTGCTTTAAATTAAAATATTTTTTGAATTCGAAATATTAAATACCATAAACAGCAGTGTCAGTGTAGAGGAGCAAATACTTTTTAAAAATTGGATAAAACAATAGGCGTGTTTAAAAGTATAAATTTTTACTGAATATTCAATGCACTTGCAATGATTCACTTTTATTGATTATAAGAGAATAATCCTTTGCACAAAAACTAGTTAAATTCACTTAAATCTACTAAAACGTATATAGCATTATCCTTAACTCACCACTGCAAAATAACCCGATGTTCAGAATGCAAATATCGCGATTTGCGATGCCATATCATATTTTTAAGCATCTTTATTTCTATGTAGTATGTGAAAACTTTAGTAAACTATGATTATGGCTCTTTAAGTTGTTTCACAATTAATATTTCTATTTGTGCATTTCTATTTCTCTTTTTGGCGCGTTCATGTTGCTAACGTAAAAAGAAGCTGGTCAGTGTAACCTTAAACTATATTTGCTATGCCTACCTATTAGCATCTCTTTTTCCTTTTCTTTCGAATATACATCAGACCACAATACATGGGCTGCTAATTATAATAACGAGCCTTAAACTTTTACCTCCTAATACTTCACGCATCCAAGCATAGCGTTTATGAGAAACCATTTGTATTTATATAAACTTTCTCTCTGGAAAATCGCGAACAATGTCCGGAAATATCCTTTGTCTGATTCTCTATATGCCGCAGAGCTGGGTGTATGGAAATGGGCCTGCCACACTCTTGAGTGACTAAGTACTCAGTAGTCAGTGTCAGTATCATCAACAGACTTAGGAAACTGCTTCTCAGCGAAGATAGGTTGTTGAGCTGACTTTTTCCAAACCATTTACTGGTGACAACGTCTTTTGAAAACAACTTCTTATCTCTTCTGCTAGAAGCACAATGACGCCTGAGTTTGTTTCCGATCATTTGTAACCACAAGCTTAAGGATATCTTCGATTTCGTTAATCTTCTATTTCTGTATGTTTCATTAATATTCTCAATCGGCGAAAGATTGAGGATTGCCGATTGAGAATATTAATGAAACAAAATATTTATTTTCATTTCATTAATGTTCTCGGTAATAGAGAATTTATTTTCGAGGAGAAATGTATTATTATTTATTAAAAATAAATATTCAGGGATGGTTATTTAATATTTCTTTTTAACGCGAAGACTCAAAGGCAGGGTGGCACAGGGCTCATTATATCAATGCGCTATACTGAAGATCCAGATTCGATTTCGGGCGAAGGCATAGCGAATCTTTGAAGACTCTGCTCTAGACAACCTAGCATTTTCAGAATCGAATCAAAGTTTTTTTTTTTTTTTTTCCATAACAGACAGAAACTGCATCCACTAAAATGTAGGAATCTTTTAAACTAAGACTTGCCATACAGAACAAGACTACTGTTCTTGCTATCTTAACGTATGCAATTTTAACTTCTATTTCATTCTAAATTAGTGTTAGATATTATATAAAACTATAAAACTAAGTGTTAGAAAATTAGTTATTTCATCCAAACATATCGCTTGATTATCCAGAGGGTTATTAAAGCTCTAAGATTTCATCAGTATCACACTGTTCGCATTAAATATATTTTTAATCATTTGCACGCATCATAAATGTTTCTTTATATAATGCGATTACATTAAAATATCTGAAATTAGGACAGCTTAGCGTCACATTGGAACACGTTAACGTTTTCGTTTAAACTATCTACTTGGTTCCTTTCTGGTTAATGAATTCTTAGACATGCGAATTAGTTAATGAATTATCTTTAATGCATGAGATTTGCAACGTAAGTCCAATCTATTAAATTGTTAAAATATTTAAATAAATATATCTGCTTTATATTCCAAATTCAATCAAATGTATTTTTGTCCAATTCCAAACTCATCCGTAGATGTTTAATTGTTACTATGGAATTTCGTCTGTTCTTCCGCCATATATTTAAAAATTAAGAGACTCTAGTTATACTTTAATACATGATAATTACAGAACGTTCCACAAAATATTTTTGGCAAATTATATTAACTACATTATTTTCGCAGTTTACCTTCGAAGATCAAACTGTAGCTAAATAAATATCCTAATAAACAGTATAACAAAAAACATTCCTTGACTTCATCCGTAGTTTCTAACATAAATTAAAACTCTTTCTACTTTTGACACGCGAAACTTAAAATGGATTTTTAGGATTTGTATTATTTAACGTATTTTCAAAATGAATTTATCGAGATAAAAAGAAATTTATCAACAATTTTCTTAAAAAACTTCTTTTTCAAATTTCTTTTTTTTTAAATTCAAGCATAAGGTAAACAATTGTCGAATATTATTAAATGCCTAATTCCACATGTTTATTATTTTTGCTTCTATAAATAAATACATTTCACGGGGAAACTCTTTTTTTTATAGCTTGTGCTTCCCCTTCTTTTCGCTGTGGCCATGTCTGCAGAAATTGGCGTGAACCATGCTGGAGATTCTTATAATTTCCATTACGCAGCCGGTGATGCCGGCGGCCACCAACGGTCTGAAAGCGGACACGGAGGTTCAGTTTCAGGAAGTTACAGTTACATCGATCCCAATGGCCATCTAAGAAGTGTCAGTTACACTGCGGGTCCTGATGGTTTCAAGCCCTCTGGTGATATCGGAGTTGACAAGAAAACTGCTGATGATGCTGCTGCTCTTGCTGCCCTAGCACCCAAAGCCCCAGTTGCTCCTGCTGCAGTCGCTCCAATCCATCACTGGAATTATGCTCCATACTACCATCATGGAGCAGCCTGGGCCCACCATGCTGTGCCCAACTATGCACACTGGGGAGCCTTCTGGTAAATGAATATCAATAGTTATAAAAAATTTGCTCATCCTTGGGCTTAGACTTGTTCCCAAATTGTTCTCAATATCCGTTCAGAAATGCTCTGGAACGCACAATAGATTTCCAAACCTTTTTAAAATATCGCTTATGGGTCCAAACAAATGGTGTTCAGGAACTGGTGTTGGAAACTCAAGATTAGGAAAGCAATAAAAGACTCTTCATAGGCTCTGCCCCTGCTTGTTATAAAACTCTGAATTTTGTTGAAAATGAATAAAGAATTTATTGTTTGCTTACAGTTTCCTTTTCTTCTGAAACTCTATGAGGTACGGTTTGCATATTGATGTTCAAATTAGAGAGTAAATTTAAAACTTATGCTAGTTCAATAAAAGCTGATTAAAATTATACTGAAAATAATTATTTGTACAACTATATGCTACAGAAAACAAAAATTTATTGTTGAGTATGTATTTGCACAAAAAATGTGCAATTAAGTGGAATGCGAATTAATAATATTAATAATAATTAATAATAAAACCATGTTAAACATCATGCACATAGCTTTGTTAAATGTAAAATAAAAAATTTAAAAGAAGTCAGATATTGTTCATAATTTCAGAAAGACATAATTTAGATAAAGATTAGAAGTAATGAATTTTCTATATATTCGAAGCTGGGTCGAACAGAGTTTAGACGTCTCCAAAGAACTGAATATTTTCCGTAGCGTAACCATAAAAGTTGCTTTTATTTAATATTAAAATTTTAAGAAAAATGTGAAATTGGGATTTAGTAAAAAGCATTTCTAATAATACTATTTTAAAAATTGCACATGAAATACATAATTAAAATTCCTGAATCTTGAAATTAATTTCCTCAACATAATTTGAAAAAATTTTACTTGAATAACAATTCAAAATTTTATAATTTTCTTGAAGCTCTTTTTAAATCAAAGCAGAGTGGAGAGGATTATCTTAAAGCAGAGATGAACACTAAACTTGAAACTCTAAATTCTTTTCAAAAATTAAGAAAAATAATAAATATGAATGGTGAAATGCTATCATTGTTCTGATACTACTGCAATTGCAAATGTCCCATTCTTTATTCAAAGAATATTTGTTCACATTCTATATTTAATCGTGTTCTGTAATTAACATTAAAAAACTAATTTTTCCAATGTTCCAAGATAAAATATTTAACAGTTTTCTAGGTTAGGATACTAAAGCTCAATTTTTTAAAAAATTTGAAGTCTCCGGCTTCGAATCTAGAATATTTTCAGTGGAGGATTTGAATACCCATCTCTAATAAATACATAAATTATGTTCAGTAAACAGCTTTCAAGACGCTTATACAGGCTACAGATGATTTTGCCCCGCAGTGGATGGTTTGTCTCAGGCAGGTGTTGTTCATTGCTAACGTTTATTTGTAAAGTTTGCTAGTCGGACGTGATAGAACGTCCGGCTATATTTCCTTACATGTTTTTCTTCTCAGTAAGTCATGTAAGTCCCACATACATGTCATTATAGTCCGCATACATAAGTCACTTCAGAGGTAGTCATTTATAAAGATGATAGCTAACTGAAGGTTCACTGTACATTTATTAATTATAAAAGAACTTATCTTTTTGTGTACGTTTAACCATTAACTAAAACTAGTCCTGGGGCTTCAATTCCAGGAATATATAAAATTACAATATTTTGAGTTTAATGTATTATTTGAATTTCACTATTTGAATTTAAAAATATTTTGTTAAGTGGATTGATATTTGCCACATACGAGAAGGGGATAATTAGAAACTAAGGATGAGAATTATTGATTAAATTTTTGCTTTAAAATATTTTTTCATGACTCCATAAAATATGAAGAATAAGAAAAGATGATCTTTAAAATCTATTTAAATCAATGTTGCTGACATAATGAAATTTAAACTACGAACACATGCACATTTGTATATATCAAACAATTCTTCTGTCCACAGAAAATTAAAATTTTGGATAAAAACATCTTACTTTTTCATCTTGAAAGAATGAAAGTACACAGTTTCTCGAAGCAATACAAACACTTTTTCTCTTCTAAGCGTAATATTATATCACATTACAGCTACATCCAACAATCTTTATACCTTTCAACGAACAGGTGTACCGCTCGACAATTCCATCACTAGCAGTGAAAATACAAGTAGAAAATTTAGTTTATATTTTATTCGTATTTTCTGCTCAATGAAAAAGGCCAGCTGTGAAACTCATGAATATCTTATAGATGTATCATAGCAAAATGCACAATACCGTTCCCTGCTCTTTCTAATCTTACTCTTATATTATTAGAAACAATTTTTAAAAAGCATATTCAATTAAATATCAGTGGAAATTGAAATATATTTGCTACCAGTTTTAATATTAAACCTGAAAGTTTAGGGAATTTAGAAGCTTCGTTATTATAACAAAAATTAACAATGAGAAGCTCTCATTACAATTCTATCAGAACTTCTTTTGCTAAGGCTAAAGACATTACATAATATTATTTAATCAAATCCAAATAGGTTTCAAGACTCTTTTGAATTTTGTTCTCAAATACATATTTCTAACTAAAAGAATGAATCAGTTAAATAAGGCTACAGCTTCTGTCACGTAACACCTTTTAGTAAAAAAAAGAATCTTAAAATTTTATGCAGGTTTTGCGAGGCAAGGATGGAATGTCAAGCATAAGGTGTTTAACATGAGCAAATTAGCAGTTTACCTAATAATAAAAATGTAAATAAATAAAACTAATCATGTGATTTAAATGATTCGCGATGTCTTTAATCGAAGTTTTGGGAGGCCGTATGATACACTTAGTTTTTTAACTCACATATCTAAAAGATATCTTTTACATCATAAAAGCGCAAATGAATAAAGTCTTTAAACTTGCATCTATAGAAACGTTCAAATTCGAAATCGTTTTGAACATTTTCATTCAGTTTTTTACTACACATTTTACACTACACATCTACCTTTTTCTTTCTCTGAGAATAAAATATACTCCTCCTTTCCTCTAAAGACCTTTTTGTATATTAAAGATTCGGTTGTTTCATAAAAAGATCCTTTGGTAATAATTTTTCTTTAGTAAGAGACAATATATTTAACAGTTTTAATTACTAATACTAATAAAAAGTACCTTTGTAGTAATTCCGTTTTAAATTTTAATGTTGTACATTTTCGCTAATTGTCTCTGTGTGCCTAAAATTGTTATAGTATAAATTCTTATCTAATTCGTTTTATTTCTCAGTTAGAAGCATGGATCTACTGTTAACCATTATTTATCCATGCAGAAACACCCTACATAAACAAGTACTATATTTCACATAAAAAGGAAAAGTAACTAATTAGTTGAAATAACATATACATAATATGCATTTGTGTTTTTTAATTTCTAAGCAAATTTAATAGCAGAATGTGCCCAAATTGTTCAACAAAATAAAAGTGGCCATATTATCCTTTAATACGAACAATATTTACAATGGAACCTAGAAATGCGTTCCGCTCAGAGTGTCAGGAAAGCCTAAAGTTAAATGTCCAAATTGAACTTTCAACAATGAGAAAAAGGGAATTAACGAAATCATAATCTGCACAATTCATTCACATCAGTGATAGCCTCAACGTAGAAGTTCAAAGAGCACCGTTGCACAGTTCACATCGGCGACTCTGTTGTAGATGTCTGGTGTCAGGAAGACAGGAAACGATGCGTCAGTGATTCTAGCAGCAAGTAAGAACGTACCAGGAAACCAAGGATACAGAAAACCACCAACTACACATTCACGCAAATCTCTACGTTACGAAATGTTACAAATGTCTGAAATAGGTTAAATATGGCTGGCTACTGATGCGGGCCAAATGAACACCCAGCGAATACAGTAGTACGGAGGAGCAAAACCTGTAAAAGTCATTGACAAAGTTCTGATCCTCAGTCCACTTTTCCCTGTCCCTGATGTTACGAGGGGCAGTGACGGGGACGTGGGTATTGCTTTCAGCCCAGACGTGCTTACTAAGAGTGTTGAAAAGGCCTTCCCGAGTAAACAAGTCCTCATCCATCTCATAAACGCTAGTTGGAGGAGATTGTCATCTGCGCTTAAAGGTTTGAAATTCTGCACATGGAATACGTGTGCATGCGTGCATGCATGCTTTATGTACAACTCTCCACAGAGTATTCTACAAAACACCAATGACGAATAAAATTAAAAGCAACACGCACAATGCAGCGTTAGAAGTGGCGCAGAAAGATTTTTGTTACATTACAGAGAAATTGCAAGGTGGAAAAATGTAATTTGGAAGACACGTTTTCTTTGTATTGTTTGATGAGGCTTGGAAGATATTATAGCTTCGGAATTTTCCACTGAAATTGGTAGCCTTTATTCATTACATAATTTGTTGAAGATCGCATCGCGGAAGTGGGGTCGGTGTTATCATTGAGTTGTTTTCTTATTCTGTGATCCATAGTGAATGAGGTGTCACCTCCGAATGCCAAGGCTCTTGTATGATCCAGTTATTGATGTGGTATAAAATAAACTTTACTGGAAATGTAAATATTTGTACATGAGTACTGCACTACGTTCGTACTGCACTACTCAAAATATTGCCACACATACTAAGATACGCTTGTATGTGCCATAAAATCGCTGATTGAGTATAGAGCAGCAGTATATTGCCCACTAAGGAGAATGCAAGATGAAGACGAACCGAAAATTCTCTTTCTGCAGTAAATGCGATTGACACCAGGAATAAATATAAAATGGGGATTCTGCGCCAGCGGAGCTGTGGAACCGAAAGCGTGGCCAGTGATGTCACAAGATGCAACGAACAGCGCCATCAGTGATATCGCAACAGAGGATGTAGCCAATGATATCACGAGTGGAGGTGAGTTGTTTTAGGCTGCTGTTTGAGTTGTACGTCTCTTGCTGCTTTGGTGAATTTAGTTTTTAGAAACTGGCACCACTGACACAACTGGTTTAATAAAACATGACAGACTGAGATGTTTTCCACAAATAGCTTGCTGGGGAATAATATAATGAATACCAGAAGTTTTAAATATTTAGTATCTTCACAAGCCTTAAAAATTAGTCTAACTAATCCTTTCCTCATTCCACACATATTTTTTCTAACAACATTTGCGCCCACCAGCGGCCGAGCGATAAAGTCGCTGAACACTGGTAGTTCAGTCCGAGTTTCGAAACCCAACGAACGGCCTGACTGCATGGGAGTTTTTGTGGTTTTTTTCCCATGTGTAACGTGTATACGAGCCAGTTTCCTTTAGGAAGTTCTCCA